TCTAGTTTAATGAAAAGAAGAACTAAGAGTGATCTAGTCCAGTGAAAGCAGTGTTCTCATATCTAAGGGTCTGCTTCAAAGAAGAGGAGGTCAATCTATTCTCCAAAGCACCTGGAGCAGGACAAGAAGCAATGGATAGAAACTAATCAAGAAAAGAAACAACCTAAAATGAAGGAGAAATCTTCTGACATTATAACAATTAATTAGTGGAACACCTTGCCTAACTCTCCAGAAACTGGGTGCTCCAAGGCAGAAGGTTTTTTAAAAGAGATTAGACAACCATTTGTCTGAAATGGCATAGGGTTTCCTGCTTGAGTAGGGGTTGGAGTAGAAGATCTTCAATGTGCTTTCCAACTCTGTTATATGTAAGAGGTTGCCTGTTTTTTTTTTAAATGAAAACATTATACATAGTCTGTGTCAAGTTCATTGTCTAAACTCAAATGCAGAAAATATTTGGTTTTGTTGCCAATCTCTTTCTGTCAACCTGTGTCCAGGTATCAATAAGATTCTAATGAGCTTTTTTAACTTCAGAACTCTTTGATAATATCCATCCCCTTAACAAGTTGACTGATTAATAGATCTTGTGATGACTGGTAACCTTCTGTTCTTCTACAACATGCTAAAAGTCTATTAAAGTAGAACTGATTCTCTATTGCATGCAGTGGATAGTGGAAAAAAAAAAGAAGGATTGTGATAGTGACAGAAGGATGTGGATACACAATCCATATTCCTGCTCATTGTTACATAGAAAAGAAAGCTGACCCTATAGGGAAATTACTTAGAAGCATCATTAAAGAAAATGGTAGACCATTTGACATAACCACTTTTATGTATAAAGCATGGCTTTATACAATGTACGTACAATATCCTTTACCCAAACTATACAACTAGTATTATGGTGTATATTTCACCCACCTTTCATTGCATTGGAGAATTCATTTAAACCCTGCCCCACTTTCAACCATTTATATAACTATTTAACAAATGATTGTAATATTTACATTAAAGTTTTTAAATAATTTCTCTAGAAGAATACTTAAAAGCATTTGAAATTCTTCTTCAGCTTGATCCTGGATCTTTTCCTGCTTTGTTGATGAAATTATGAATGCATATTTAAAAGAGATTGCATAGAGTTCATTATGATTTCATAATCCATGGTTCGTTTCTCCACTTTCCATTGCACCGTCATCTTTAGGAATCGGATTTTAAACTTTGAGGACCACCCACACCACCAGTACAGAAGAGAATGATGGAGTGTTCATTTTTCTGGCTTGGAAAATGTAATGCTCCACAAAATACCCCAAATACAAATTGGCGTGTTCATTTAAAACTAACTTTGGTATTTAGTAGCTTTCCTTCACTCCAATGAGAATTAGGTTTGCCAGATGTTACTGATCATGTGAAATATTCTTTTCTATTCTTGTAGTAAAAAATATTTCTTAAATTTTAGAACTAAAAAGTTACGCTAACACCCAGAGTAGGACCCATTATATATTTTCATTCATTTTTCATTTCATTTTACTTTATTTGTATGCCGCCCTTTTCCCTGAGGGGACTCAGGGCGGCTCACAATTCAAGGGAGGGGAAAGACAGACAAATTACAAAACATAAAGACCATACACAGTTAAAAAAGCACAACAATCATACCATTCGAGGTGGGGCTGCAAGTCTTTAGCCCCAGGCCTGTCGGAACAGCCAGGTTTTAAGGGCTATGCGGAAGGCCTGGAGGGTGGTGAGGGTACGAATCTCCACGGGGAGTTTGTTCCAAAGGGTCGGAGCAGCCACAGAGAAGGCCCTCCTCCGGGTAGTTGCCAGTCGACATTGGCCGGCTGATGGAATTCGGAGGAGGTCTAGTCTATGGGATCTTATTGGTCTAGTGGAGGTAATTGGCAGTAGGCGGTCTCTCAAGTACTTCATTCATTATTATTTTTTTTAAAAACTCAATACTAGCCACGCCTGTGAGATAAAAGCTGTTTTCCAATATTTTAGCATTTTTAACTTAGATATATTTTCTTGATTAAAGAGTTCTATTTATTTAAAAAATGATCTTAGACTTTTTTTTTCTTCCCGTACTCTTAATGAGTTAATGATGTGATATTCTGGCTATGCATGATTGAAAATTGCAGCTATATTTATGCCGTAGCTTGACAACTAGGTAGCTAACCGTAGCAGGAGAAAGAGGTAGATCAATGCATGGAACAGATTCTAGGTGTATAACTGGAAATTTCATCCTCAGTTAAACATTTTGAAATGTTATTCTATCCTCTCAGCATTGATCATGATCTGTTTGCCAGGAATGAAAATTCTCCTGCATAGCAGCCAATATGTTAGGATAGACAAAGAAACAATTATCATGTGGCTCAAAGAAGACTTGAATCCAGCTTCTTCTGATCCACTGGAGGACACTGCCCATTTTGTACTCCAGGCAATCCTTGAATCTATATCTCATATTATTTTTTATTTACATATTTATTTTATCATTTATTTGTTTAGTTATTTGCTTGTTCGTTCGTTCGTTCGTTCGTTCGTTCGTTCGTTCGTTCATTCATTCATTCATTCATTCATTCTATGTATATGGACACTCATCTCAAATACTGGACAGCTTTCAATAATGAGGTGAGAGAAACCTGGGATCCTTTATCAGTCTCTGGTTTCTAAAGCCAC